TAGCAAAGGAATCTCTGAATACTCTGATGATATCCTTCAAGGTCACTTCCCCAAACTTCTGGTAAAACAGACTGGTCATCCCATCTGGTCCTGGAGCTTTCTCCGGATGAATCTTAATGATTGCTTTCTTATTTTCTTCATCAGACGAGTAACTCGTAAGTGGAGCATTTATAGCTGGAGTTACTTGTGCAGTATTATACCGGAGAGCCTCCTCAAAATCTTGAGGATGGGATGCTGTGAACAGATCTTGGAAATATTCAGCAGCCACTTTTTCCAGCTCCTGCTCGGTCTCTACCAAGGCTCCAGAGGCATTTTTGAGTTTGATGATCTTGTTTCTAGCTCTTCTTTGTTTAGTCATGGCATGGAAATTTTTGGTATTTCTGTCTCCTTCCTTTAGCCAATTTGTCCAACTTTTCTGTTTCCAGTAAAGTTCTTCTTCTCAGAAGGCAGCACAGAGGTTCCACATCAAAGTTAACAGTTCATCATTTGAAACAGGTTCATCTTGTTGAGCAGATTCCAGCTTCTCTTTGATCTTCTCAATCTTTTTCATCGCGTTTATCGGGTTAAGGCGTCTCCAGGTCGATAACAATTTCTGTTAATTTTCAATGGTGGCATGCAGGTCCGGAGTTCTAGAGATGTCAGAGGTTCCCCAACTCTCGATGATTGTCTCTAGTAAGCCCTTCTTTTCTAACCATCTCCTATTAAATTTAAAATTACTCTTAACCCTGCCCTTTCGCGATTGAATACGAGCCAGAACCGACCGATGATCAGAGCCTTCTAATTTCAGATACTCCACATATGTGTGGAAAAAGTTATGATGCCAATCTTCATTGCCTATTACTCTATCAAGTTTGCATCGAACACTGCCACTGGTTCTATTTTGGACCCAATAAAAAGAGTTACCTTTTGTCAGGAACTCCCCCATTCCGGTGTCTTCAGACATAGTGTTGAAGGGTATAAAAGATGCATCTGGGCGTTTCCAGCCTCCTCTTTTCTCATTGTGGCCTGTAATCTCGTTAAACCCCCCCCCCCCCCCCCCCCCCACACATGAACCACGGGCCCGTCCTCCTCCTGATACTTATCCATGTAATGCATTCCCAAACTATTTCTCGGCACTCAATGATAAATAAAATTCATAAAGACTGGATGTCCTTCAATGACAGCCTTCACGTCTATCAGACGATTATTGGAGAACAAAATCTTAGCATTAGAGGAATCTATATATAAAAAAAGCTAGTCCACTGTTTTTACTTTCTGGTTCCACAATGAACAATTTATTATAACCAAAAGAAAATTAAAAGTTTTGCATAAAGGAAAAAGAATTTTTTTTTCTGTTTCGGAAAGAAAAAAGAAAAGAAAGAAAAAAATAACAGTCAACTCTTAGAGATGTTGTTTGGTCAGATAAGCGCTTGTACCTTAACAATTCTATGAAATTGTATTTATATCTTCTTACTGGGTGGTTTCTGAGACACTACACATCAAGAGTTTTCTTACAGAGAGGGATATGTGATTTATGGTGTCCTAGGCTTAAATGAATATTAAACATTTCTTAAACGTAAGGTGTCCTAGGCTTACAAAGCATCTCTTGAATTTGACTAGGCTTACAAAACATTTCTTAAATTTGACTAGACTTACAAAATAATTCTAAAATTTAACATATAGAAGAATAAAATGCAACTACATGTTAAAAAAATACGATTATTGAAAATTTGACTAGGCTCACAAAACATTTCTTAAAGCAACTACATATTGGCAGCCTTGTAGTATAAACTTCACAGCTAAAAGCTTCATCTCGAGGATCAAACACAGACACGAGAACCCAAGGCTTTCACTGTACAAACACCTACAGGAGAAAGCCAGCCCAAAAGTTAGTCGGCCTTTCTGGTGGCCTTAATCCGAATGATGAAAATTTACAACTTGACTATCTTTTTCAAATATTACAAGTGTTGTTTTCTGCTACATTTCTTCTTTCTGATTATTTAAATAGAGAGAAACTCCATGGCAAAGGTAAGATCGAAACTTGAAAGCACCAAAATTTGACTTGTGGTGTTTAAAGCATAAGCCTCACTCTCTTTTCCAGATGTTTGATTGAATCGTCGAGCCATAATGAGATATATTTATCACAAAATATTATTTTATTATATAAAGATTAATACGTCAAAGTTCGTAATTCATATAAACGTGATAAGTGGCAATGAGCGATTTACATCGTTAAAATTTTGATATGTGTGACGGTTTAAAAAAAAAGATATATATTAATTAAAAAGAAAAAAATATATTTAAAATTAAGAAAATTAATTATAAACATAAGTAGATAAGATAAATTCAATTGAACAAAACTAAAATAAAGATATAGTTCAATAAAGAAAGGAAAAAAATATTAAATTCAATTTAGGGAAATAAAACAAAGAGAGAAATATATATATATATGTATATATTTCAATTAAATAGGAAAACAAAAACAAAAGTAAATAAGATTAAAATTTGTAATTCATATGATTACAACACATGGTGATTTAAATCAATAAAATTTTGACATGTATTGCAATTATAAGAAAAAAAATAAAAAGAAAATAAAGATACATGAAAAGATATATATCAAATTAAAAGGGAAAAGGGCTATATTTAAACTAAAAATTAAACTAAATTGAAAACTAAAATAAAAAGATTAGCTTAAATTTAACAAAGGTAATAAAATAATATATTTCATTAAAAAAAAAGATTAACTTCATTTTAGAAATAAAACTAAAACATTAATAGTAAAAGAAAAGCCAAAACAGTAATCTTAAAGTAAAAAAAAATATATATTTCAATTAATAAAACTAAAATTAAACAAAGTAAATAAGATTTACTTCAAATAATAAAATAAAAATATAGTATGTTTCAACATTTATGTGTTTCTATTTAGTTATGAATAAAAATTATCAATGCTACGTCTTTATTTCTAACCATTATTCTATCTAATCCACTTTTATATAAAATTTATTTTTGAAATTTGAATCTTATGTGAATTCTTTAGCTAATTATAAAATTTTCATTTTTAGTTTTCAATTATTTAATGTTTTGTGTCCAGTTATTTATGAATGAATATAAATCTATATATCAAAAATAGTTAAATATAAATATGTAATTATTTATAACTAATAATAATAATGATCAAAAAGCATCAAAACTATATTTAACTATTTTAAATAATTATTCTATCCACTGTTATATAAGGTTTAATTTGAAACTTTTCATTTTATGCGGATTTTGTAGCTAATTTAAAAAAAATCTATTATCTCATATTTCTAATTATCTATGAATGCCATATACTCTAATGAGAGTATTTTATTTGTATGTATAGATATCACAGAATAATTAAATATAAATAGATGTCAAACAAAAAAAATATATATATCTTTATACTTATAAAGCACAAGTCAGTTGGCAATTGTCCATCTGACACGTGTCATTTTACATTTTTTTTAATTTGAAATGTCAATCAGTTTTTACAAAATATCTGCCTAAAATATTTCTTTCTCTTTCTTTTATAGTGGCTATTTTTTAGGTTATATGATATCAATCTTCAATTAAAAAAAAGTGTGATAATAAAAAATTAAATAATAAAAGATTGATGGTTGAGATTTTCTTGCTTTCAATCCACGATCTCCATCTCTTTTACATAACTGTTACGGAAAAATTTATAAACCTGCTTATAACTGATTAAAACTGGATATACAAAGAATCATCAATCTACAAGAGTGATAGGGACTTCGGGTAAAGAGAACCTTGAAGTTAACTTCTCATGGCGAATAGTAGAGTCGATGAGTATGTTTGAAAAAGTATGTATTCATATTTAGATTCATATGACAACGTGTTATGTGTCTGGTTTTTCTAAGACTTTGGCTTTATGCTTTAGGTATTTAATGCCTATGTAGATGATAGCTTGACTGAGTATGTATTTACTGCGACTTCAAATAATCTAACTTTCCATGATTTTTTTTTCTTTTGTTCAAATAACTTTCCATTATTTTTTTAACAATCTGACGGTTGAATAAAGCAAATGCTCTGTTTTAATAATGTAAATCATGCATCACCTTTTATTAACCGAGCATCTGCAAGGAAACTTTGAGGGTTTGGCTGATATAAAGATGAATAATGAGTATGACCGAGAGGAGATGACTCGCATGTGGTTGGTTGTGCTTCGGTTTGTGTTCCCTCGCCGTATATTATCCATGTAACTTATTTTTTCCCCAATCTTCCTTTTCCCTAAGGGTGAGCATTCAATTTTGAAACTAGAACTAGAAAATTCAGTTCTAATAAATAAGAAATTCAGGTTAATGTTATTTATATTTTGTAGAAATAAAATCTACTTTTAATTAATAAAAAGTATAATTGAAATATAACTTCAGGTTCAGATTGGTTTGTTTCTTTTACAAACAAAGAAATAGAAAAAGTTGTAAACAATAAAAAGTGTAAGACGAGGATGTAGGCGAGGAAGAAGAAGAAAAATGATGAAGGCTTCTTTTATATTTTAATTGTTTTGTAAATCTAAAATACAGATGAACACATTTTTATTCGATAATATGTAGTATGTTGTTAGGAACTTATGACTTTAGATCTATACTATTTAGAACAATAAAATAAAATAGACAGTAATAGTATTTGCATATATAATAAACAATTATAGATGAATAGAAATAACACATCGATAAACTATATATTGTTGAGATTGCATATATTTATATATATATATATATATATATATAAATCTTCCGGTTCTAAATGTGAATGTAGATATTAATAGTGATGTGCTAAAATCTAACGCAAACTTAACTTAAAAACAGATTTAATGCTGTGGTAAAATATATAATAATCAATTTATGAAAATCTTAAACATATTTTTAACTGAGTTTCATATTTGAATTATGTAATTGTTTTTCAAATATAAATACTCATTTTAGCCTGCACGAAGTGCGGGCATAATACTAGTGCATAATAAATTGGTATTAATAAAGTCGGCACTTGTCGATTTATTGGTGGGTTTCGAGTATGGCTGGTGATTCCGATTCAAGGGAGATCGATTCAACACCGCGAAAGACAGAGACATGGGTAGATCCCCCACTGGGTTTCTTCTTCGCCGGCGAGAGACTGCTCCCGATTGGCAGATTAAAGGATCCCGAATATGAAAGACAGTGCGATATCTTCTACGATCAATTTGAGAAAAGCGAGGTATCTCTGATTTTGGTCAGATAATGATTGGGAATCGTTGATCCATGGACACGAACTTGACTAGTTTCTCAATTTTATGTCTTTTTTAAGGGTTTTGATGTGGACTGGGACAGTTTGGGCTACCAGTTCGCTGCCACCAATTTTGAGTGGGAACCACATTGTGATCCGCATCAGAGCAAGGAGGAGCTGCTCAGGCTGCTCACACAGACAGCCATTGACGAATTCAACGAAGAACATATCAGAGAGCTTTCTTGCTCTTCTTCTCTATTACTCTCTCTTCTCTCTTCTCAACTCTCCTTAATATATATGATTCCAGGGAACCGAGGTTGAGTTTGTGGAGCATGTGCAAGCCAATACAAGGCCATGTGCGGGGATGATGTATTTTATAACATTTCGGGCAAAAGATGTTTCGTCGCAAGATCCTAAACTTTACCAAGCACAGGTGCAAAAATTCTGTGATGAGATTTCGGTCCTTCTGATGAGGCTAAGGCCGACGCAAGACTGATTTGTGTGTGTGTGTGTGTGGTGATGAGTCACTCTAAAACTCTATGTTGCTTTCATCTTTCTTTCTACTTTTCTTGCCATGACTTATACTCATACTACAGCTTAATAGTATTTGTGGTTTAGTTTTAGACATTCATACTGTAGCTTAATGGTATTTCGGTACACCATACTAATGTTTCATATTAACATACTAATGTTTCATATTTCATACTAATTATAAACGATATCCTTCAAACCGCTTCTTCATCAACATCAACGAAAACAGATGAACATGTGACGATACACTAGCAAACGTATCGTGAACTCACTAGGACTTGGGAGATAGAGATATGTATCTATCTTTATGAATCTCCTGAAACATAGACAGAGCATTTTTAGGTTGACCGATGTCTTTATATCCAAAAATAACCCAAGTTCAGGAAACGACATTTGGTTCACACATTCCATCAAACACCTTGCGTGCAGTGTGGATTTCTCTGAGCTTTGCATACTTATTTATGAGGAGATTTACAGTGAATGTGTCACTTGCGAATCCAAATTTCAGAGTCAAATTATGTAATAGAGAATTGTGAGAAAGAGGTCGGAAGATTATGAAAGCTTCTGGACCAAGAAACCTTTGGTTTTAAAAGTATCAGTTTTCATAATGATCAAGTCGCAGGGGCAAAACGGACATTTTGGAGAAACCGGTTATTATTCATCCGGTCAAATTGCCTATGCTCTCACACTCATGTAATACCGTTGCACACAGTAATATTTGCACTCAGACTACTCAAGCCTTGTCTCCTGCCAAGAAACACAAAAAGATAAGCACAAGAACCAGAGAACCGTTAGAGAGTAGAGAAAAATAAAATAAAAAAGGAAGACCAAGCTCTTAACATGTTCTTCATCGTGTTCTTCAATGGCTGCCTGTATGAGCAGTTCCATCAACTCCTCATTGCTCCCCGTTCATCTTCTATTTATGGTTTCCAGTCAAAGTTGACGACATTGAACACGTAATCGAAACCATCCCAGTCCACATCAAAACCCTATAAAAAAATACAATAAGATTTTATAGAATAGCATGGATCTTGGAGGCAATGAAACAAATTGACTTATACATAAACCCTAAATCGAAGATATACATATACCTGGCTTTCCTCGAATTGTTTTGTAAAAGAGACGTCGCCGTCTCTAACATTCCGGATCGTTCCGTTGGCCTTTGAGGATTACTCTTCCTTTCACTACAAGAAAACAGCCCTTTCACGTCGGAAATTTGCGACGGCAAATAGTAGTCGCAATTTGCGACGCGTTTGCGACGGATTTGCCAGAGAAAAATAGTGTCTCGCTAATCCATCGCAAATTGTGACATCAATAACCCGTCGCAAACCAACTACAGCTTTGCGACAACATTGCGACGAACTTGCAACCGATAGGGGTAATTGCGACGAACGAACAAGGCCGTCGCAAAGTACGTCGCAATTTGCGACGGGAAAGAAATTCTGTCGCAAGTTTGCGACCAACTTGCGACGAATTTGCGTGGATACTCAAAGTAGGTGAATCACGTTTTACTCCCTTCCCACCGGCCTAAGTAGTTAGGTACGGAGTCGCAAATCAGTCGGTTATGTGTCACAAATCCGTCATAAATTGCTCGCAATATATTATGATGTCGCAAATCTGTCGCATTCGTCCGTTGCTAGGCCGTCGCAAAATTTCTGAATATCTATAAATAGCCTTCGGGAGTTAGTGAAACAATCACAACAGAAAGAAAGAAAGAAAGAAAGAAAAAGAGAAAAAAATAAAGAAAAAAATCTTATAGTTTTCAAAAAATAAAAAAAGGATAGATTTTAAAAAAGAGAGAAAAGAAATATTGAGAGAATGTCTTTAGAGCATAGCATATATGCGTTACGATCGTGGATGTACAATCATCGAGATCCGGAGACCGGCGAGGTGACGAAAGAGTTTCGGGATGGGTTTCGAACATTCTTATATCAGGCGACAAACCAATCATTTGCAAGGGAAAACGGTAAAATATTCTGTCCATGTAGGAAGTGCAAGAATGTGCCATATTTAGAAATTGATACCGTGAAGAAGCATGTATATAATAGAGGATTTATGCCGAACTATTATGTATGGTTTTTGCATGGGGAAGATAGTAGTGTTGCTACGGTTGGAAGTAGTAGTATGGGTCAGAGTTTAGAGCAGCCCAATTATAATGTTGATTATGAACATTATGGGCAAAATATGTTTGGAAATGTAGATGAAGGGTATCAACAAGGGAATAGGTTTCATGATATGGTTGTAGATGCAATGCATGAAGCTCCAGCAACTTCATTTGTTGATAATATTAGGGAAGAACCCAACGTAGATGCAAAAAGGTTTTATGATATGTTAGATGCTGCTAATGAGCCTATCTACGATGGATGTAGAGAAGGGCAGTCGAAACTGTCATTGGCATCTAGGATGATGACAATTAAAACTGATAATAATCTCTCTGAGGTTTGCATGGATTCGTGGGCTCAACTTTTCAAAGAGTACCTACCGGCTGATAATCTTTCTGCTGAGAATTATTATGAAATACAGAGGTTGGTTGCGGGTCTTGGCTTACCATCAGAAATGATTGATGTATGCATTGACAATTGCATGATATTCTGGAAAGACGACGACAAGCTGCAGGAATGTCGATTTTATGGGAAGCCGAGATATCAAGAAACTACTGGAAGAACTCGGGTTCTATACCAACGTATGTGGTACCTGCCAATCACTGAAAAATTGAAGCGGTTATACCACTCAGAAAGGACGGCGTCGGCAATGAGATGGCATGCAGAACATTCCACAGAGGATGGAGAGGTTACACATCATTCAAATGCAAAGGCGTGGAAGCACTTTCAGACGGTATATTAAGACTTTGCTAGTGAGGTTAGAAATGTCTACCTTGGTTTATGTACTGATGGATTTACTCTATTTGGTATGTCTGGGAGACAATATTCTTTATGGCCTGTCATCTTGACACCATATAATCTTCCTCCTGATATGTGCATGCAAAGAGAATTTTTGTTCATGAGTATTCTAGTTCCTGGTCCTAAGCATCCAAAGTGCGCACTTGATGTGTTCTTACAGCCTCTGATTCATGAGTTGAAACAGTTATGGCATTTTGGTGTTCGTACATTTGACAACTCGCAGCAACGGAACTTCAACATGCGTGCAGTGTTATTGTGGACTATCAGTGACTTTCCAGCGTATGGAATGTTGTCAGGGTGGACTACGCATGGAAGATTATCTTGTCCATATTGTCTGGATAGTTCAGATGCGTTTCAACTAAAGAATGGAAGAAAGCCATGTTGGTTTGATTGTCATCGTAGATTTCTGCCGGTGAGTCATACATATCGGAACAACAAGAGGTTATTTAGGAGGAACAAGGTTGTGCGTATCCCTCCCCCCGTTTATCCAGCAGGCAATGAATTGTATGAGCAAATTGAATACTATGGTGCGCAGAAAACGTGTAAAGTAGGGGGAAATTGGCACACACCAGCTAACATGCCTGACGGATATACTGTATCTCATAATTGGCATAAAAAGAGTATCTTCTGGGAGCTTCCGTATTGGCAGAATCTCCTCTTACGACACAATCTTGATGTGATGCATATCGAGAAATTTTTTTCGATAACATTGCCAATACAATCTTGAATGTCAAGGGAAGGAGCAAAGACAATTTGAAGTCAAGGTTGGACTTGCCTGAACTATGTGTAAGACCTGAGTTGCATATTACAAGCGAGGGAAAATTACCTGTTCCAAACTTTCGATTGTCCGGAGAGGCAAAGCGGGCATTATTGGAGTGGGTTGATTCTGATGTTAAGTTTCCAGATGGATATGTGTCCAAATTCTCAAGATGTGTTGAGCAAGGCCAGAAATTTTCAGGCATGAAGAGCCATGACTGCCATGTATTCATGCAACGACTGCTACTGTTTGCACTAACCGAGCTCTTGCCAAAACAAAGCCATGAAGCTATTGCAGGTAAAATAAGTAAAAAAATTATATAATGTTTTTTTTATAAGTGATTAAGACTATTAATTAACGCTTATTTCTGTAAGTTATTAACTATATATATATATATATCTTCATGTAGGCATTGGAGCTTTTTTTAGGGATTTATGCACCCGGACATTGACTGAGGAGGGCATCGCCCAACTGGAAGAGAATATCGCCGTGTTGCTTTGTAACCTAGAAAAGGTTTTCCCTCCTTCATTTTTTGATGTCATGGAACATCTGCCAATCCATCTACCATATGAAGCAGCGCTCGGGGGGCCTGTGCAATTCCGATGGATGTACCCATTTGAGCGATTCATGGGACATCTTAAAAGGAAGGCTAAAAATCTTGCTAAGGTGGAGGGATCGATTGTTGCAGGAAGTTTAACCGAGGAAACTTCTCACTTCACCTCATACTACTTCAGTCCAACGGTGCGGACAAAAAAGATCGCTACCAAGCGATATGATGATGGAGGGGAAGCACCGACTTATCATGTTGACGTGCCAGATATGTTTGCTCAGATAGGCAGACTTGCTGGAAAAGTTAAAGAAGTTTGGTGGGAGGATATTGATCATTGTCGTGCGGCTCACAATTATATATTGCGGAACTGTGAGTATATACAGCCGTTTGAAAGGTATAAGTTAATAACTTAATAAGTACATTCTTTAATTATATAATATTACAATATTTGCTCGAACTGACTCTTGAGTACAATTTAGGTTATTCGACTCTCAGGTTCAAGAACATTATCCTGGCTTAGAAGAGAAAGAGTACGAGAAGTTAAACGAACGTGATTTTGCTGGGTGGCTTAAATACTTTGTACGTAAGATCGACATATTTATATATATGTTATGTTGTTGTGAATGCGTTGGATTAACTAAGTAATATTTCCAGGTTAAGCATTGTTCGACTGAGCCTTCTCCACTATGGTTGCACGAACTTGTAGAGGAACCTATAGCAAAAATCGTTTCTGCTCCTATGTACTTTACCCGTGG